ATCAGAAATTCACCACTTCTCACAGATTTCAGATTACACATCAACAATATTTGGTTTTCGTTAATCAAGTTTTGTCACAGAACTGCAATCAGATAATCTTCAATCTTCCCCATAACCATAAATACCATCAACAAACAAATTATACCTGTTCAGATGAAGTCTCAAACATTCCAGATGTTAAAAAAGCCTACAGCAAAGCTGGTCTATTTTAACTCTCTTGAATAGATTCCACTTTGACAAGTAAATCTCCCATGTTTTTTTTTTTTTGGTTCAGTGCATTATAGAGCTGGGCAATTAGTGGAATTTAATAATCAATTACATTCACCTAATTGATTATTCTCACATAAGACTTGGATAATTGCAATTATTGAAAATACAGTTTTGATTAGTTGATTATTTTAATCACCCAGATATAGTGGATTATATATTTACCCAAGAAATACTGTAACATAAACAATTACTTTCAACAGAAAATCAACAAAATCCACTCCTAGTGTTACAGTGAGACATGTTTTTTAAGTTTCAACCTGGACACTATTTATTTTAGGCAACTTTTTTCTTTATTATGATTAAACAGAGATGATAGGGTCAGTCAAAATTTGTGAGACACATATTCTGTAACTAAATAATAAATACTGTTGAAAGAATCCTGGGCAACATTTGATGAATAAAAAAATAAGTGAATTATAAACTACCAAATTCATATATTATTAGGCAGGCGGTAGCACTGCCTATGTAGGGGTGGCTGGGATTGTTCATTGGAAATGTTATTTTAAATATCTTAAAAGGTCATTATAACTTTACAATACTATACATTGTTTCCTTTTAAAACAATATTTACATAATATCTGTAAATATTATGGCAAAAAGTTTGAATTTCATGTTCTTTTTTTATTACATGATAACTCAAAAACCAAAACAATGGCATCAACCAATTTCACTAAGTTGACGTAGTTTCAAACAGAGTATCCGCTTTTATAAGTATTATTAATAACTAGTAGTAGTAATTATCATTACCCTTTGAAGTTAGCTTTCTTACATAAATTTGATGTTCCTTTAAAAAGCTTAAGTACAGGGTGAAATATGAATTACCAGCCAATAATAGATAAACAATAAATATTACACTTGGCACCTCGTTGTATTTAGAACTTGGTTATAAATATAACCTTCCTATGTCTATTGAAACATATTGCATTAAAAAAAAAGCAGAGAAGTAATAAAAAAAAGATTTTCAAAAAACGTTGTAAATGTAGGGATGGCTGATATCAATCCTTCAAAAACAATGCAAACAGGATAGTAGGGATGGCATTTGCATCACCTCTACATAATAGCACCGGCAAGAATTAGCATATAGCAATATATATACAACTATTCAACTATAATTGAGTTTAATTTATTCTATTTTTGTTTGTTAACATTCTACTACTGTGTGCCTGTGCTATTATGTAGAGATGGTGCAAATGCCATACCTACTATCTTGTTTGCATCGTTTTTGAAGGATTGGTATTAGGAAAAGTTTTTCTTTACTTGTACCAATAATGACAGGCTTCTGGAATAACTTTCCTTGTGGTTGGTTTATATGTACTGATCAGGGGTGAACTTATAATATGGACAAGTGTGATGATATAATTAGATTGGTCGTTCAGTGTTTAAAAGTAAATACAAATAAATACATGAAGCCCAGTGCATTGAATTGTTTCATCAACACCTGAACAGTGAGCTGATAAGTGTGTGGTGTTTTGAATAATAAGAGGGGGAAAATATGGTCATTAACCATATACACTATTCACACAAATTAAAGGATAATGAGGTTTAGATATATTTTTTTCAAAATTGGAAGGAAAAACAACAGAGAAACATTCATTGTTGACAAAACTTGTTTATTAGAAATATTACAGGTAAACAACTTCCAGCAAGTCGAAAAATTCATTTATACAAAACAAAAAGGCAAAATTAATAAAAAATACCAATATTTAGCTGCACAAGTGTCAAAGAAAAAATAACTTATTAAGATGAACAAACAGTAACTGGTTGGTCCTCCTCTATTGTTTATTACTTCTCGTTTCCCATACTGCTGATGACATTTGGGATGACTTGTTGGGACAGCACACAGTCTCCATTCCTGGATGAGGGCAGCTCTGAGCTCCTGGACAGTCATAGGAACAGGATGTCTCTAACTGAGCTCTATAGCAAGTCCTACACATGATCAATCAAGTTTAAGTCTAATGACTTACCAGGCCAGTCCAGTTCCTCTATTTCTTCATCCTGAAAGAAATTGCTGGGTGATCCTGGCAGTGTAGATATAATTTTTATCCTGTTGATACATGAATTCATCTCTAACAGTACCAGCAAAAAGCCAAACAATGCATAGTAGAAGCTCATCCACATAATGTCTTGCTGCCAGGGATCCTCCATCTATCACATAGAAGTCTGTATGCTTCTACATGCAAATGCCACCTCCAAAGGTATCATCTCAATTGCTTGATGATGCATAGAACCTGCTCTCATTTGTGAACAGTACATGGGTCTATTGCTGAATGGTCCAAGTGACATGTTTCTAGGCCAATTTTAGCCAGGCTGTTTAGTTCCTTGGGGTTAATACAGGGGCTCTAACCAGTTTGCTGGACCTGAGCCCAGCCTCATGGAGCCTGTTCCTGAGGCCCCTAGTGTTGCAGATGTGGTTTATAAGAGCTAAATGCTGCAGATATTGGTCATCTACTGCACTTGTAGCCCTTCTGTGACCCTGGCCTCCTCGTGTATCCTCCTGTAGCCTGATATCTGCACCACAACCCACTGACTATAGATTATGACATTCCTATGAGCCACCTCAGTCTGGGTGCAGCCCACACTCCTGTAGCAGTGTGACAGCTTTGATAACTTTGGTTTCACTTTATTGGTTTCTAACAGCTTGCATACTCTTTGCAAAAGTCAATACCAGCAAAAACAATTAACATATCTAGCATTATCTCAACAGTAAACATCTTTCCTAATCAATCAAAACTAGCCTTTTGCTCTGCGGAATTTGGGTCATTTCTCACAAAGGCCTATTACATAAAGAATCATTGGTGCATAAACTTGCAAATCCTAGGTAGGATCAGTGTAATCCTTTATAATAAAGCAAGCTACATCCAAAAAAAAAGATAATCCAAAAATCCAAAGATAAGTAATGTATATACCACGATTCCTTGTTCCATATTGTGTTTGCTAAAAATATACAGAATAAAAATTTAACAAACCCAATTTTGAGAAGGAGTATGTAAGAAGTGATCATGTTTTAACAAGAATTTAAAAAATATATAGAAGAAAAAGAAAGGGATTATCATCTTAAGTTCTCAGTTAAAAGAAAGTACACATAGCTATTGCAAGTTGCACACAGTTTAACATAATTTCATTGGATGCTCCAAGTTTTTGCTAGTTGAATTTCTTCAAATACAACTCCAAAGTATAATTAAAAAAGGTTATCTTACCCATTGTTACTAACTAACTTTGGAGTTAGTGAGAAAATGACATAGTTGAAACTAAAAGTTAAAAATTGAACCAAACATTATGTGAGACAGAAAATTTTTTAATTGGAAACAAGGAACAGCAAAAATAAGATACCCAATAATTCTCATAATGACGTATCATTTGACTTGTATCAATTATTAACACACAACTGCAAATACTTAGAAAATAAAAGATCATATTGCTGCTATCAGGTACAGCAATTGCTCATTTAGGTTAGATTATTAAAAAATGTAATTTTAGTCAGCACAACATTATATCTATTAGGAAGAGTTTATTCAGGCAAAATTATGCACATACAAAAGTTTGAAATTCACAAACTTAATATGCCATGGTATCTGTATCAGAAGTATATGCAGTTCTGAAGACATAGAAAACAAACTACTAATGGTGACTTAGATGTATCCCAATTCTAAAATGCATACTTTTGGTACAAAATTAACCAATTGACACTACCATGGAAACAATAAATGGGGGAGGGACAAGACATGTATATGATACATAACGTACATGAAGATTGTTTAAAATCTGGTTTAAAGGATATGTTTACCTGATAAATACTATAATATAATAATGTTCAACTGGAAATAAAAAACTCCATTCTTAGTATTACAGGGAAGACCATTTTAAATTTCAAACTGAACTATTTACTTAGGCAACTTTTTAAAGACTATTTGGAGTAGTATAAGTTTATGAAACAAATATTTGAGTGTAACCATATAATAAATATTGTTGACAGAATTACATGCACATTTTCATATATAAAGAAAGAGTGAATTATAAACTACCAAATGCATACATTCTACCAGTAATAACATTCTTGTGAAGTAACTTTTTTGTGCTTTTTAGTTCAGTTTAATTAAGACAGTGGATCACAAGTTGGTATAGGTGTAAAAGTAACAACAATGTCTATTACAGGATATGTTACATATAAGAAACAAAAAACTGCTATACACATTAAAATATACAAAATGGTCCTTTCTGTTTCATTAGATACATTTTCATATACTAAACTGGATTTATATCTTGTATAAAAATAGAACAGCTCTCATTAACTTTGATATAAAATGGATAGTCAAAATAAGTAACTTGTCTTTACTGTTTACTGTCAGAATTTTTTTTCACCCATGAAACAAATTTTATTTCATAAATTACATCTTTATAAAATATTATTCATGATCAATGTCACATTTATATTTTGACAGACTGCTTCAACTGTACATGCAGGTATGCTAAATGTAACTACCTATAGCGTTTCTACTAATTAAAAAAACATAAACATTACAAACAAATAACAATCATTCATGGCTAGTCTAACTTATAGTAAATATTACTTTTCCCTCGAATATATTTCTAATAATGAGCTTTTAAGAAGATATATAGTAATGGAAGTGCTAAAACTTCTTGGTATATTTGAAGTGAATATAGTTCTATCCCTTCACCTCATGCTATTGAGAGGTTTGATGCTATATTGTTACAGTATAACTTTTACATTGTGAAAATAACTTACAAACTGTTGGGCTTAAATATACATATCCACAGATACTTTTTTATGTTGATATTAAGATTTTGGTGTAGAAGTTGTAAGAAACTTATATCTGCTTAACAACATATGTAATACCCATAAATGACAAATCAACAGAAGTACAAACAACTGAATGGTTAACTGATGATAAGCTCACCAAAACAAATGTAAATTAAGGAAGAAAAGCTTCAGTGAATTTCATTAATGTCAGAACCACAATCATTCAAAACATTACTTAATCCATGACTAGTTGACTAATACCACATGTTTCTAATTCAACTCAACAGCCAAATACATCAATGAACTTTGTAATACTTGACTTTTGTACAGTTTTGTAAGATAATCATTGCACAGACACTTTTTCACTTGTCTTTGATTATTATTATATCTTTGTGTGAAATAAAATTACAAACTTCAGGTTTTGTTATTATAAGATAAGGGAATATTCCCTCAATTTTTTTATATTGAAGTCTGAAAAGGTCTTGAGGCACTAAACACTATTGAATCAAGTATTTTCTTTTAAATTCTGATAATATTAATGATGAATATGATATATTACAATAGCCATTGATTCTTATTACATATAGTTACTTGAAAGATTAGCTGTGTAAAAACAAACAAACAAGTATTTATATTTAAGATTATATAAAAATAGTATAAAAAACTTACTTTATCAAGCCATTCATATTTGTGATACCGCGATGTATAATTTGACATTTACAGACTTGTCTTTATTGGAAAACAATTATATTCTGTTCTTCATTTTTTTGAAGTACTAAACCCTTTAAAAGTTTATCAGTCTGAAATTCCAAATATAATATATAACATGGTTCCTTAATAAAACTATCCAAAACATAATAATTAGACATCTGAAGCTACTAAAAATTAATATCAAAATTTGACAGTTGAAGGCACTAAACTTAGGAATTTCAGCTTCCTGATATATCAGATACCTGTGGTGATTTTTTGGGAAGCTCAACTGTTTCAGACATTGGAGCCTCAGGAAGTGGACGCTTAGGTTTTCTTGGAACTGCTGGTGGTGTTCCTGCTTTAACAGGTAGTGGTGGTGGAGGCTGTGAAATCCAAATATGGGATTAATATCATTTGGTAACAATGTGAAGTTGTAACAATACATTAAGCTGAAAAAATAAACTGTTTATTCTTCAATTCTGTCACTGCCATAGAGATATATGTCACTCCTAGAGCACTGCTATGGGAATGTCTCCTTCTACAGCACTGCTGTGGGAAAGTTCTACACAGTACTATGTGGATGTCCTATACAGCACTGCTATGTGAATATGCTATACAGCACTGTTATGTGAATATGCTATACAGCACTGTTATGTGAACGTCCTATACAGCACTGCTATGTGAATATCCTATATGACATTGCTAATATGAACGTCCAATACAGCACTGTTAAGTCAACATCCTATATGACATTGCTAATATGAATGTCCTATACAGCACTGTTAAGTCAACATCCTATATGACATTGCTAATATGAATGTCCTATACAGCACTGTTAAGTCAACATCCTATATGACATTGCTAATATGAATGTCCAATACAGCACTGTTAAGTCAACATCCTATATGACATTGCTAATATGAATGCCCTATACACTACTGCTATGGGAATTTTTAAATTTTGTAACAATAAGATGTTCACCTGTTTCTAATTTCAGATAAGTAATGAAATATTTTAACATATTTATATTGTGAATCTAAAAATAAAACTGGCATTGGGAAAGTTATTTATCTATAAACATAGCAATGAAAAGAGTTAACTTGTTCCAAATATCAATATTTTAATATATAATTCTTTTTTTTTATTATTATTTAGATATATATCAGTAACTATAACTTCACAATGTTAGGAAAACACGTAGGTTCAAGAAATTAATTCAACACCAAAATAGTATCCCCATAGACTGAGCACTTTTGAAAGGTGGACCTTTTTTCTTCAGGGAAAAACTGATTTATCATGATTTGTTTTTTGACAATTTTGAATTTTGTGCAAAGCTATGTCAGGCCTATTTGTACTAGCCATCCCTAATTTCAAAGAGATATGTTAGATGGATGGCAGCTAGTTAACTGCCAACTCTTGGGCTACTTTTTACTAATGAATAGTGGAGCTTCCAGATGGTTTAAAAGGTGAGTATGTTCTGAGACAGGATTTGAACTCATGATTCCCATATTGCGAGTTGAATGCCCTAACTACCAGTCCATGCAAGGCCAATTTGTTAAGAATGACAAATTCCCAGAGAGTGTATTAGCCAGTGTTGCTACATTAGCCCTAACAGGACTACTGAGCACCATGCAAGTGTACAGTGTACATTTGTATATTAAATTTAAATAAAAATAATAATTCTGTTTCAACAATTTAAAAGGAAAGAAATATTTTCAAATTAATATTTTGTCATTTTGTAACATTTAGTTAGTGTAATTCTTAAAAAAAAGTGTTGTACTTAGAATTCTTTTTGTACATCCCAGAGCATAGGTTTATATTTGCTAGGGAAATATCATCTCTTGAAGATATAATTATCCATATCTTGTTTGTAAAATGATTTTTTTTTCTCTTTTGCTGGTTTTATTATTACAGCTATTCATTTTCATTCTTTTTAGATGCCACACTATGTAATCTAAACTACTATTTCATCACAACCTCCTTGTCAATCTACAAAATTTTACAAAAACAAATAACCAAACAAAGAAACTGACACACATAAATCATAATTGTGTTTCATTGTACTCTGACAGTTTAGGAAGGCAGTAAGCTGGTCCCTCATACTGAAAAGGTTGAGAAATGCTGATCTAAACAGCTGATAACGACAATCATCTCTGGAGATAGCTAAAGGCAGAATTTAAATACAATTGGATAGAGCACATTGTGAACTATTTATGTTAATGTAGAGAGAATAAAGTGGTGTGAGTATTAATATATGGTTTCATGGAAAAGTTACCAACCACCTCCAACTATGAACAAAAGAATCAACTAACAAAGCTCACAAAAGTTAGGAACAAACCACAGATATGGAAGTTTTTTCATAGTTTCTTTAGATGTCCTTTTCATTCCTTAAAATATTTTTATGTTACATTACATCTGTTTGAAAGCTACAGAACTTTTCTTCTATGAAGAGACATATGGTAAGGTTGTTTATATTGAGTGAGTATGGAAGTTGATGTCAAAATATTCTGATGACTCAAATCTTTATTTATTGAAAAAGAACTATTTATTAGATATAAGTTGATCTCCACCAAGAAAATAGTTACCTAGCCTGACCTAATGCCATTTTTAAAAGTTTTGGTCATTGGAAGTGGTGACTACTGCAGTCAGCAAAATAAAGTACCAAAAGAAGTATGGTAATGGATACTGATTAAGGTGAAGCTGACTATAAAATAAAACTTTCTGATTACTAATAAAAACAAAAATTGAAATTCTAGGACAATAGGAAAAAGTTTAATGTTTTCCAAAACATGTTTTAAAACAAGATTTTGAAAATTTTGTAACATAATAAATGATAGAAAAACTAAATAAAATATGATTTTTTTTAATACTCTAACCAAGATACTATTTAGTAAGCATGTTCTAAAGCTTATGCAACTTGGCTAAGTATTTTTACTGTGAGAAGGAAAAAAAATCCAGAAATATCAGTGACACCTTTCTGGTTTAGAAAGAGCCAGTTTAAACTTTAGGAGATTGAAATTTTCTTATGGTGTCTACAAATTTATGTAGCAAAGGTTCTAAAAAATTGAACCCTGAAAAAGATTCTCCTTTGTAAGGGCCATGACAGTAGAGAACTCTCCATGTGATAAACATGCATAAATGTCAATTTTGAAAGAATAAGCTGTGTCAGTAAATTAAATCAATGTAGCTGTCTTATTTTCATCTGATATTAAAACACTGTTTTGTAAATTTTACTATGTTATATATCTATATATATATATGTATACACACACACACAATATATATATATATATATATATATATGTAATACAACTTTTGTCTGAAATGTTTCCTTTGACATCCTCGGTATGTAAAAAACAAAGAGAAGAAAATCATTAAAACGTTTTTTTACTATATTGCTATAATGTTTATTTGACATAATCTTTATTTACTTTTGCACCTGTTAAAATGCATATTTTAAAACAAGTTTTAAGTATGGAGTTTTTCTGTTGATACTATCATTTAGTGAATATAAAATAATTATATTTGTTTAGTAACATTTCAGTTAATTTTGTTTAATATTTTAAAGTGGTTTCAAAAATATTTCTTTTCAAAACCTTTTCTACTTAGACAGTGTATCTATCAGGCAATTTATTGCACGTAAACAGAAAGTACAATACTCTATTACATATATACAAGACAAATACAAATTGGGTCAAGAAAATGATCAACTGGTTTATGATACATCGTGATATATTTGATTCCAGAAAGTAAAAAAAACATCAAAAAACACTTAATCTTTGGTGTCAGAAGAAACACCAACACTAAACTTCAAAAAACAGAATGTGCTTTTGTTACTTCCACAAAGAGAACTCAATTCAAAGCCTACCAACAACTAAAAACTACCATTTCAGGGAATTTAAACTGTAAAGGCACATGTTGTTATTGTTTATTACAGGGTTGGTTTTACCACATGGCCCTCAGGCACAACTTTTGTTTACAATGTTTCATTTAAATATTCCTGATACATAGAAAACAAAAATAGGAGAATTGCTTTAAAGAAGGAAAAACAAAGAACTTCAAGCATGCCCAATTATGCTTCAGTAATGGAAATCTTTTTCATGCAGATCAAATTTTGTATATTGTGTTTATAAAGAGGAGAAAGAGTTCACTAAAATTTCAGACTAGTTGAATATAAACTGAATAAAAAAAAAGGTTAAAAGTTATGCACTTTATTTCTTGAGAGTTGCTTGAATAGTATTATATTTGATCTAAAACTATGTACAGAAGAAATATTTGGTTTTACACCATGCACAAATTAAGTTTCTACAAAATAAAGTTCTTTAACTTGAACGAGAAACCTTACACTCAGGAAATAAGAGGATCAATGTAATGCTAATTCCAATTTTCCCTTCCAAATATAAATGTAATCTAAAGTCCGTTTACCTTATTTTTTAACCTTGCAGATGAAAAGAGTGAGCTCTTCCTGGGTGACATATGCATATCATCAGTAATATTGGTATAATCTGCATAGGCTTGTTTCTGGGGCAGAGGTGGTGGTTTATCATCTACTTCTTCTGACGTTAACAATGGTGGCGAATGGACTGACAGTGAAGAGAAAGATGGAGAAGTTGTACTTGTGCCAAGAGTAAAACCAAACAAGCAAAAGTAGTAAATAAATATTAACAGACCATACAGTTCTAAAACCTTCAATGCCCTGGCCATATAGCCAAAGAAAATTATAAAAACTTCATTAGTAGATACAGATATTGGAGGTAATAAACTGATATTTCTAACCTTTAATACAGTTTTGCTAGAAACATAAATATTTAGGTTTCTTATTCACAATTAGAAATTATGTAGAGTAATTTTTTAAAATGTGTATAATATTTTCTTTGTTAAAACATTCAGAAGGTTGAAAGTTAACATTTTCCTAAACTGAAAATATATTTCCGAAAGATACTTACCTCCACTCACAAAAAGCTTTCTTGACTATTGGTGCAAATGTTTGCTCACCATTAGCCTTGCTACTCCCACTTATTACTGCATACTAACATGCAAATGATCATGCAGCAACCCTCCACCAATAGGAGTGTGACACTACTCCTATCATAAATAGTGCCCACTCTAATCATGCACATGTTAACTACTTCAAGATTGGTCATAACTAACCAAAGCAAATCACACCAGAAGTGGGGAGTATGGGTGGAAATGTGAGAAGGTAAGTATCTATCAGAAATGCATTTTCAGCTTAGGGAAATGTTTTCTTCTGATACAATATCTTGCCTCCTTTCACAAAAAGCTATAATCCCACAATGAACTGGTGGAGGGCTGGTGAGAAGATGATCCCCCTTTAAGAAGCACCCAAAGCAAAACCATGAGGTGTGATAAGGAATTAAAAACAACAAACCAGTGGGAGACCACACCTCTTCTGAGCCAGGTTGTTTGCCCTTTAGTGATGTCTCGCAAAAGTATAAAGGGCAGGAACCTGGAAGGGTCCCAAAATATATATAAATAATTGGACTCCCTGGTGTGGAGTGACTAGGCAAGACAGACCATAAATGTGAGTTTGACCTCAACCAACACCTGGTGGCATCTGGAATGATACCTCAGGTCTGTGGTAAGAAAAGGGTTCTCTACCTTTTACCTCAAAAATGGTAATGGTAGGGATGAGAAGCTCCCACATCAAGAACTCATTTTTGCATGTACGCACCTCTAACACAACCAACACCAGATCCACTGGGAACCAACATCCAGCAGATGGTAGGAAGAAGGAGAGCCCAGGAGGGTGTTTACCTCAAGTCCAAAAGCTGGAGGCATTGGGAGGAGGGTACCAGCCACACACATGTGGGGACTTATGTAGCTGGACCATCTCCAACACCCGATCCCTGATAACTGACATCCAGATGGGCAAACTACAATTATACATATATTTATATGACAGAGTGCTACATCCAACACCTGGCAGCATGTGGAATTGTACATTAGGTCTGCAGTAGGAAGGGTGTCACACCACTGACACTCATAGAATGCCACCCCCTTACTTCCAAACTGAGTGGTGTTATGCACACTCAGGTGGACAGGCCTCCATAGTCCACCACCTCTGTCACTAGGAGCTAGTAAGTGGCAAGAACTGCTGTATTCCACTAGAAGACGGAGGGAAAAAGTACACTGAAGAGTCTGGAGGAACATGGCACTGGAGACAGTGTAATGGGTGACAGCAATACCCTATTTTGAAAAGCACAGTGATCACATTGACGGAGTGCATCATCCAACACCTGGAGGCATCTAGAACTGTACCTCAGTCTGCAGTAGATAAAGCCTCAAATTTCATGGATCATCAGAGATGGGCAGTAATCTCTGACTGCTTTACTCACGTTAGTTCATGAGTTTACGGTCCAGGATGAACAAATTTATGAAGCAAAAGACTGTGAGGTATACCTATGAGTGGTCCTGTAAAACACCCTATTTTAATAGTGGGTATAATATGACCTGGATAAGTGTTATGACATTGTATTTTGAAAGCATAGAGAAAACAGTGATGGAATCAATCAACCAATACCTGGCAGCCTCGGGAATGGTACATCAGGTCTGCAGTAGGAAGAGTTTCAATGTCACAGTGATCAAGCATGTTCACAGGTAGTACAGTGCAGGTTTAAAGAATAAGTATATCTGGTCAGGCAACACTCCTCACAGAGTGGTATCCAAATATGCAATAAAGACCCCTGCAAATAAAAATGAACAGAGTACTTCCTATCACAGACAAACAGTTACAGCACTGATGGAAGGAAAATGCAAACTGAATGAACTGGCAAATTCAACCCAGAAGGGGAATGGGAAAAAGGTCATGGGAGAGGTGAGGATGTCACTGAAGAAACAGACAGACTCGGGAACCACAGAAGGAAGCAGTATGTGTCACACACCCTTGGAGAGCTCTGACCAGGCAAAGGAGGTGGGTGGGATAAGAACTTTCATAAAGGAGGGAACAGGATTATGAGACAACAGGAGAGATGAATGGAAGGAGAGGACCAGATGTACTGATATGACTTTCAGAACCCAAGGACCTCCAAAAGTGGGCCAATTGAAGGAGTTTGACCCCACCAACCCTGACCTTAAAAGGATGGTTGGAGTAAAACAAATAAGGGAAAATGTAATCGAACTATTGGGGTCTGATCCCCAATCAGCAAGAAGTGACACCAAACACTGTGATGCCAAATAAGGGAAGTTGGAAGGTTGATAATGAAAAGCATGATCGTTCACAGTACATGGGGGTTGAGACATACTGATTCCCGAACGAAAATTTGCCCATCCTCCCAAATGGCTCACATGAACCCCAATATCCAGGGGAAGAGGAAACACTAAATAATGATCCAAAGGCTCATCCCCAAGAAGGGCAAAGGTTGAACATAGGAAATGAGATATAAGTACCAAACATAACATAACATACCTGAATAACAAATTCAACAAGGGGAAAAGAGGTGTGGGCAAGTTTCCTGAAATGATATGTAACAAAAAGGCATATTCAGGAGGGGAAAAAAGGCTCTCGAAATCCAAAACTAAAAGATCACTGAAAACCTTGTGAGGGCAATCATTGGTGTGTTCTGATTGTTGCATGAAATTAGTCAACTCCCAACAGACCAGAGCCGTCATTTCATGGACTGAGAATTGTAGTTGTCATGTTATAAAAGACTGTTTAATTTAGATATTATTGATTAATTTATTTTGTGAGCGAATATTTTATTACTGTTTGGTGTTTGTTATAATAAGGGTTAAAAGCAGATGATTGTTGGAAGTTGTGTTTATGATTCATTGATGTTGAGACTATCAAACATCTCATGCAATACACTGATGTCGAGAATATAGAGATTTCTAGAAGGCAGACATATGATTAAATGATAAACATATAAATAGTGTGAAACGAGTGGAAACAGCAGATAGACAATAACAGAAGAGAGTAAAGCTACTAGCAAGGAAAAGTTTAGTGTGAAGTTAGCTACTGTAGAAGTGATAGGCCTAATGATTAACATAGGCCTGACGTTTAATATGTTAGAGTAAGACTAACGGTAGAAAAGGAGATAAGAATAATAATTTATTCCTTCAAAGCATGGTTCTAAAGTAAGTGAATGAACCTGAGCACACTTTGACAAAAGGAACAGAGGATATTTAGAAGAAAGAACACCAAATGATTACGGTAACTCTCACCACAATTGTAAGTATATTACACACAGAACACTAGTGCAATAGTAATAGAGAAGATAGTTCGGCTTGTCAACAGAAATTCTAAAGTAATTGAATAGACCTAAGTGGGCTTTTGACAAGAAGAGAACTATATATATATATATATAGTGTCTGTGATATGTCTATAATCTATATAGTGTGAAAAATTTGTTGTACATATGTTTATCTTGTTCCGAATATGTATATTGTTTTGAAAACATGTGAAATGCGTGCTGTTCATTTATCGTTGAATTTATCATCAACAAGTCACAGACACCTACTGTAGAAGAATTCTAAGCCCAATAACAACACAGCATATATTTATACTGTGTTGTTGCTGTTGGGCTTAGTATAAGTAAAAGCCTTTTATTTTGACAATTGGCAAAAATAAATATATTTTTAAATTCTGACAGTGGTTTTGACTCATTGGACATGGTTGGTAATTCCACTGATGCAGTAAGAGAAGTCGTAGTTGTGACCACCAAAAACTGCGAGTGCAAAACTCCCGAAATTGAAAGAGAAGATAAAATAAATCGTAACTCTACAAGAAACAGGACAAAAAACGTTATTAACAAATTAACTGCACTAGAAATTCAAGAAAGTAAAAACATGTGGATAGGTTAATTAAACTGTGAGCAAAAAAAACATCTAATCAGTATGGCTACCAATCTCGAAGTGATTTACATGTGTATGATTAGAGAGAGTGCTAGTTATGATAGGGGTAGTGTCACACTCTTATTAATGGAGGGTTGTTGCATGTTAGTATGCAGTAATAAGTGGGAGTAGCAAGGCTAGTGGCAAGCGAAAAATTGCACAGATAGAGTGCAGTATGAGTCCAGAAAGCTTTTTGTAAGATGAGGTATGATATCATAATCAGAAGATGAATTAAGATGGATTAGATTCAAGGGTTGATTGATTGTTTTGCAAAAGATATTCAAAAACTTGATTTCTGTTGCAAAACATGGATTTAAATCTTTTTTTTCTTTATAAAGCAAACAGAATTGTACTTAAAACAATAAAGAATTGAAATGTTCATGATAATACGTAAAAACCTTACTTGTTTGAGATTGTGGAGTTTTGGATCTGAAGTGCCCACTGGAAGGTCGACTGAGCCTCTTGTCTGCTTCTGACCGTAGGGGACGATGAGGTGTTAACTAAAAGTAGTTTTAGTGTAAAGAATTAGAGCAAATAAACAAGAGTGATTAGCCTGGTTTAGTTTTAATTTATATGAATACACATAATTTTATTATTTCATTAGAGAGGAAAATTCTGAGGCTGTACAACTTTAAAATTACATATAGCAATCAGGTTTTCTTCAATTCAGGTATGCTACTCTGAGAGTGCACTCTGAGCAGTATTAGTTCAGCTACAAAATTTCATACACTGAAGCTTGACATGCCTTTAATGAGTTGTTAGATGTGTTTGACAGACACATGGCATTATCTGTTCTCAACATAGAAGACAGTTTGACAAGATCAGCTTCCCAACTCAGGCTTTCTTTATCTGTAATTCAATGTTGGTCATGGTATGGGCTTTTTAGTTTCCCTAATATCTTTTCATGTTACAGTAATTAATTTGTAATTCATGCCTATCCTAAACCAACAATCATCAGTATTTAAAATCAGAAATATTAAGCATGTAAGGAATGAATTCAAACTACCTTGTTGTTACATAGATTATTTTTTCTACTGAGAAAACAGTTATAACCAATGGAGTGAATGTGGAAATGAAGAATGTGCTATTCAGGTACACTGATATTTTACAGAAAAGTAACAAATATCTGCAAAATGCAAGTTCCAGAAATGTTATGCAGAGAACATACACAAACAGGAAAGGAAAAACAGGTAACACAACTGAACAACTTAAAATGTTTATCATAATTAAAGTGTATGTGTAAACTGTCACTAGCTTGCTTTGGATTTTGGTACAACTCTCACTGGCTCTTAGAGCAAAGAGAAAGTTTCCTTAATGTCTAACAAGATGAAGACAGGATCAAAAGAGAGACTTGGAGTAAGAGAGAGAACATCATGCAAATATCTCACTTTTAATTCAGATCAGAGTCCTAGTGTTGTTCTCCCTTAATCTTTAGATCACCTACTTCAATGATCATTTTGAATTAAAACACATGAAACAAAATATGATTGAGCTCAGTAAAATTAAAATACATTAGACAAAATTGAACTGGATGCAAGATTCAATAATAGAATCATAAAACAAAATTAGAGCACAACATAATACAAAATCAAATAAATATAAATGAAATAATGCTATTTTAGATCATAATACAAGTGAACCGAAAGTATGGACTGAACAAAACTGAATGCAAAATTTATTACACAAGAGATCATAAATAAACTCAAAGCACGAAATAATCATAATGAAAATCAAAAATCAAATTGCACATTATATGAATCATAAAAGGCAAAAGAAGGCCATCAAGGTTCTTCAAAGATCACTACCTTTTGGCAATGACCTTGCAGAAAGATTTTCTCATTTTCAGCACACCTCTCTGAAGGCTCATAACCTCTTCCTGTAAGCATAAAGTTTCTTAACAAAGCTGATATTTTTATCCAAGAGGTGCCAACATCAGTGTTGGTATGCTTCCTCAGCTGGCCAAGCTCCTTCTGCAATAGGGCCCATATAGCCTGGACTTAACAGTGATGATGCTAGTGATTGATAGCCTGTAGAGTTAGAGTTGATGTTTGCAGAGGTTGCATTTGTGGCTATTGGTGGCAGCTTGTCTAGTTCAATGAGTGCTGTAGATGTGAGGCTGCAAATTTCCTTTTTTTGCCCTTTTATAATTTTTGGCAGTCAGAGAAGACATCCATTGAATTGAGCCACTTAAGGACTTCCTGGGGGTACAACATCTGGTACTATTAAAGACTTCCATGCAGCATAATGCCTTGTATTCCATGCATCTTGCTGCTGATGCTTTGGGGAAGTTAGAAACTTATCTACCACCAATTTTATACATGTTGAATGAATAACTGATGGACCTAGCACCAGAAATGACCCACATACTATCTTTACTAGGTGGCTTAGTTGTGGCCTCTTCTGTTTACTATGCAGAATGCTTTTCCATTGGTTCAACAGCTTGCAGGTGTAAGTTCTTCCTAGTAGTCAGCAGCATTTTACAGAGTGCCTCCAATTCAGCCATTAGTAGGCCATGGTATGGTTTGTAGTGTCTTTAGGCTTTAGCTACTGGTCAGGATTCAAAACATGATAACTATTACTTAAGGATCCTGTTTTTATATGGCAAAAGTCAAGACTAAGAAAGCCAGTTTAATCTGTGACAGGTCAGAAGAAAGGTAGTAAGGTAAGGATAAGTGTTATAAACCAATCTTTTGTCAGAATGTAATAAAAGCAATAACAACTACATCTAAAGAACAAATTTGTTCAAATTCTAGAAAATATATATGTAGCAACTATGGAACAATGCACACACTATTACCTTAGGTAGACCCCAGGCAATGGTTTTGCTGATCAGCAACTATATCCATCTCACAAATAAGTGACTTCTTGCACTATTATCTAGTTATCTAAAAAACAGAGCTCCTGTCCACACTTCTGTGATCTACAGATACCAGAAAAACATCCATTGAACTGAGCATCTTAAGGACTTCCTTGATTTATGGTCTTAATGACTGCTTCAATGCGTCGTGGAAGACTGTCTACTAATTTCTGGTAGAAAGCTGGTGGTATTGTGCTCCACTCCTCCTTTAAAGCATTAGTAAGCTCCATTACTGAAGAGGGCCATTTTAGCCTTGCCCTAATTCTGCATTCAATTTCATCCCAAAGATGTTCTATCAGGTTGAGGTCAGGGCCACTGCAATGTTCCAATGTTATTGTCTTCAAATCATGCATTCACAATTCTTGCTTTGTGACATGGAGAGTTATCATGTGGGAAAGTGTAAGGGCCAGTACAATAAAATTGCCACAATGTAGGACTCTGCATTCATGGATCCATGCACTGTGACCAGTGGACCTAGTCCATACACGAGAAGCACCCTCAGACCATGATACCACCACCTCCAAACTTCATTGTTGGGACAACACACTCAGATAATAAGATTTCTCCAGGCATCCTCCATACCCAAACACATCCATCAGACTGGAAGAGCATGTAGAATGACTCGCCGCTCCACAGGACCGATTTCCATTGATCCATGGTTCAGGTTCAGTGTTCCTTGCCTCATGCTAATCGACAGTGTGCATTTGTTTTTGTTATCAACTGCTTGTGGGCTGCAATTCTTCCATAAAAATTCATGACATGTAGCTCTCAATATGTTGTGGAAACACTTATAGAATTACCTGTGGCTGCTCGCATCTCCAAATACAGATTCTCTACAGTCTGATGGCGAGATGAGGTAACCAACCTTCTCAAGGTGTGTCAGTTCCTGTCAGTCAGTATTTTACACCTATCTGGTCTTTTCTTGGGGTCATTGTCACCTGTGGACTTCCATTTCTTCAGCAGATTGTGAACTGTCGACTTGGGAATGTTTAATTGTTGTGCAATAACACGTACAGATAAAGCATTTCATAATATTCACAAAGTTTGGTAAAAGACAAATCAAACATATTTCTCAATCAAAATGACTCAAAAACAAACAAATATGATTTCACTTTCAAAGACTAAGTCCCATAATCTAAGGACATCCCAGCTGCTTTAAGTGCAAGACATTCCTTTAGTGACACCAGAGAAAACAATATTACAAGCCATATAATTTATTTGCCTGAAAGTTTTTGTATATGTATATATTACATATGTGTACATATATGCAGACCAATTCACCTCACAAAAACACTTTTTTGTATTATCAAAAGAAAAAAAAATTATATACTAATGCACACACACACACACATCTATCTCATTATTATGTATTAATTAATGCAAACTATGGCATATAGCACCATCATTCAGTGGCTAGCCAGGTGCCCATAGCAACTGACATCAGCATCAGATGAGCTCTTAATTAGTGGTAAAGCACACATAGGACCACAGGCACCAATTAAAGAGATAGACTACTCCAACTCAAATGACATCACAGAAGTAAAAGTAATTACAAACAGAATTGGCCCTTTCTGGCATTGTCATCCATCCAGATACCATCATTTACAAAATACATGCCTATACACACAATCCAATACAGTAGGCACATATTTGTTCTTTCAGTACTGCCATCTAGAGGTTCTGAAAAATACAATACATCAGACAAACAACAACAGCTAGGATGATTCTATGAAGGAAAGAACCTATAAATATTTTCCAGAGTTTTCCACGATACAGCAGCTTTTTCCCTTGGGGCAGTACATATTGTATAATGGCAACACCACTGCTCTGTATCTTGATCTGAATTTGGTGAGAATGTTTGTGAAACATTACTTGTATTGTATGGAGTTCACCATCCAAATAGACCATGTGCCACTGAAATTGCTAATGAACTACAAAAAACTTGAAAGTATGATTGTGCACTGCATAATGCTAGGGTCAGTTCTTTACTGCTGTGATTTCTGCAGGATCAATGGACACTATCCTTGCCTACTATGTGATCTTCAAACTCTATTCCCATATGCATATTTTTCTGGTTTTATTTCCAGCTTGCATCTTTGACATACTGGATATCATTCTTAGGATCTCAGCAACAGCGTAAAATGGCTGAACAGATACTAGTATGTCATACACATAGATGAGACATTTCTTGCATTTGCAGTATTCTCAGTGGAAGTTCCTTCACCTTCTCAAAAGTTGCAGGTGCATTATACAAACCAAATGTGCAAAATTCATACTATCCTTCCCAAGTGCTGAAAGCATTCTTTGGTGTATTTTCATCACCCAGTTCATCTTGTGAGTAACCAGAAGCCAGTTTATTCAACTACTTGGAATCCCCAATGAATCAGAAGTAGTAAGTGACTATATTCAGTCTCTTCCATAAAGTCCTAGTCTTATGTTTTGTGAATGAGTTTCTGTTGCAGCCTAACTTCAGTTAAGTAATGCCACTTGACTAATAAGTAAGAGCATTAATTAACTAAGCAAAATTATTTACAGATATTTTACGAAAACTGCTAAAGCACTGAAAGCATTAAATAATTTCCATGCAGTATGTTTACAAGGTATTTACCACATCCAAAGCAAGATCATGAAAACTAAATTTTC